ACTCTGGACGAAGGAGACAGTGAAACTCAAAAATAGAAAGTGTCGACTCGCCGTCGAATGCGCCGAACTTTATGATCCCCGGCCCAGGAGCAGCCAAGGAAGCGCGCGCGGGGGCGCAGAAACTGCCAGAACTACAAACATATTTGTAGTAGACAGTTCGCGCGCAGCCGCGCGTGGAAAACAGGGGCTACACGTAGCGCGCATGTGTCATTTCGGAAGTTTTTCAATCCGTAACTGGCCTTGACCCACCCACCCACTTTCGAAGCTACTACGGATTGGAAAAAACTTTCGATAATTGCGGACGACCCCTAAACATCCGTAAATATTTAAATAAGCACATTCTTACTTTCGAATTCAGTGGTCGCACCCGTACTAACTTCAGCCCTCACCAACGCTGTACAAAGCGTCACTGGCCCGTTTCTCAACGGTCGCGCTAATCGACCAATCAGCGTACAGCTAATGTACCAAAATTCTCAAACTTACCGTAATTCCTTGGTTCATACGGTGTAGTTTCCAAAGATTTTTTATGGACCAACGTCTTCTTTCGATAGATACCAACAGATCGTCCGCTTCGAATTTTTCGATTTGATTGCCGTTTGGCCGAAAATTACCTCCGAAACCGGCCTCCACTCGTTTCACTTCAAGGCTTTCCAGGTGGACGGCATCGCAATTCGGAAGCGGAGAAAGGATAGCCAGTGAAAAAAGAAAAACAACGACGTATTGGTTGTCAAAATCGACCAAGAAATGAATTCAATAGACCTGTTTCCGTGCTGCGCCCTCGCGGCCCGCGCGAGTGCGAAAGGGATTCTTTCTCGACAAAACAAACAACAACTAAGCGCAGTGCACAGGTACATGCAGGTGCTTTTTGCAGTGCAGTACACTGACATCACTGCACTGGCTGTATATACCTTAGGAATATCCTGTTCTTTTCCAAGGCATGATTGTCGCTAGTGGGAGAACTCAGCCACCTGAAGCTTTCATAAAGGAAGAAGTAGTAGGTGAATGAGTTCGCCAGAAAATGGAACGACAAGAAAATAGATACTGTTGCTTTCCGGGGCGCTCATGAGACGACGGCAAGATAGGACTGAAACGATCGACAGTCCGCCTCGACGCAAAAGAAACTCTTCTAGGAGAAGCTCGACGTGCTGTAGAGTTTGCAGTATTCTGCAGGAAGAAGACAAGAGAACTAAACTCAGACTACAGCGTGGAGCTGAAGCACGAGCGAAGCAAAAGCTGAGCGAGTTCGAAGAAATGGGGAAACACAGGAAAATGAGTGGGCGACATGATCTTTAGCTCGAAGCTCGCGCTAAGACACGCGGTGAGCACGTGCGCCTACGGGTAGCGCGGCCAGCCACCATGTTTTCAAAATGGAGGTCGACGCTTTTGAAATCCGTGCTGACTTCCGGGCACGAACTAACTTTCGGACCTGACTTGTGTGTACTCGAAATATTGGAAAAGTCACTTTCATATAGATGTACTTCTTTGAAGTACATGCTACGCCCTGCATTTTACGATCTTGCAGATTCGGACTCACCATACTGGCACTGGTTACAATTAGTTCGAAATGAACCAGTTCTATAGAAAAGAAAAAAAGGACCAAGGAACTAAAAGTTACGCTATAATGTCCACTAACACCACCAGTTACTAAACAATCAGCTCATGCGATAACATTGCACGACACTGACCGACGAGTTAGTTGTAGAACGTCTGTACCATCGGTCAGTGTCGTGCAATGTTATCGCATGAGCTGATTGTTTAGTAACTGGTGGTGTTAGTGGACAGTATAGCGTAATTTGTAGTTCTTTGGTCATTTTTCTTTTCTATAAATTTATTCTTCGCTCTCCATCGGAGTCCATTGAACCAGTTCTCTTTCTGGATATGACATTGTGGTGAAAAATGACCATGAAACAGTTCCCAATATCCCTTTAGAACTTGCCAGCCGTCCCCTTGCTGCCTACTCTGCCTGCCCATGTTAGCACTTCAACAGTGACGCTCACACACACACACACACACACACACACACACACACACACACACACACACACACACACACACACACCAACACACACACACACACCAACCTATGATCACTAACAGTCGAAAGTGCCTGCTCCACATGAACTGCATTCTGTTCTCTAACTCCCTGTTCTTCTGTGCTGTGTGGTGTGTTGCCCTACAGGCTGATAAGGTTCTGCAGCATTATGGCTCTACGCACTGCGTCTCTCTTCCAGCTCGCTACTTACGCAAGCCATGGACGTTGAGCTAGGTTCTGGCCATGTTACCCCTTGCTATCTACGGTTCTCTGGTGTGTGCCTGTCCATCTGCTGGTCTGGCGCACCTGTGTCAGCGTGGTACAATTGAGGCCCAGTGAGGTGATTAAGGGCCGCTCACATGCCACGCCAATCTAGCGTTATGCGTTCTGAGTAGGCTACGGATTATTGGCCCTGCCCGTTGAATGCTCCTGAAATCCCGATGCTGTGCCCTTTCATTATTTTGCTCTGCGGTTAGTTGCACAGTTCGGGCATTTGTATTTGCTCAGTTTGTTCGCACTGCTGTGGTCTGTGCATGATCGATACATGCTCAGTGTGCCGTGTAAGAGCAAGTGTCTCCTGTGGCAGCACTGCTGCTTCTGTCAAGTTTGTGCAACGCTCGATAGCATAACACTAGACTATTGTCCGCAGTGCGATACTGCTGGTGAGCCACCCATGCTGAGTTCACCGTTCACCCCATGTTGTCTGGCTTCAGCAACTTTGAAAATTGTCGTTGTGGCCCTCCTCTCCCATCCTATCCATTTGTCTTAGCCTTGGGAGAGAGGGGCGTCATGGGATCATTCCTTCTCCCCTATCCTTTAGCCCCAACTAACCATCTGTGTACTGGCTGCTTGTGCGTTTGAGTTCTAGTTTGTTAGGACAAAAAACCTGCACTGGCCGTCTCTATCTAGCACTGTATATAGTGAATAGCACCATGTTGTGGCACGTCGCCTTGTTTCTAATCCTCTCGATCTCTCATGCATTTAGGAGGGGCTTTCCCTACGTTTGTCACACTCAATTTTAGCTCTCTCAATCTCCGGATTTCTCATCTGGTGTTTTTTTTTTATGAATTTGTTTTGTGTGCGATCATGTAGCCCATGTGGAACACTCTCCTCATCGTATTCGACATTTTTATTCTATTTTCTTGTAGATGTTTTTGCGATGTTTCGCGAGTATCTGTGTGCTGTTACTCTGTGAATGCCATGGACATGAAGAAGTGAGATACGGATGGTAGTCATGCGATGGTGCACGTTTGCCGCTGTCCTTTGGTGTGCGTAGTGACACTTTATGTCTGTGTGTTTGCTGGTCAGAAGGTTTGCTCCCCAGAGTGGACACACATCTCCAGGGATACACTATTTCCTATTGTTTAAATTCCTGGTCAGTCTGTGCATGCTGAAGGAAGCGCTCCGATTTTGAGCGCTTCTCAGGCCATACAGTGGTGCATGGAGTAAACTAGCAGCTGCAGACTTCGTACGGTATGCGTGTGCAACGTTATTTTAGACATCGCTGATGACATCAAGGGCAAGTGAGTCCACCGCTACTCATACGAATCGGGCTTGATACAGGTGTAGTAGTATTATGTTTAAAAAAAGGTGAAGAGGCAAAAATGTAGCAGGGGCATGTCTTGTGAGGTGGCTTACCTATTTCTGCATCTACAAATTGTGTACAATGGTATTCTCACTAAGTCTTGTGATAGAAAAAAAATGTTTCACACGCTGCGAGCAGGGTTCGAACCTGCGCGGGGAGACCCCATTGGATTTCAAGTCCAACGCCTTAACCACTCGGCCATCACAGCAAAGACAAAATCTGTTGGTTCTAGCGAGGTCAAGACACGTGGACGTGGGTAGGATCAGCTCGGTGCGGTGCTACATTTTGGGGTTTCCCCGGATCACGCGTGTGAAGGGGGTTTCCCTCATGATCAGCTCAAGGCGCAGCATGGAAGACGGAAAAATCATGACGATCTTCACTCTTTTTTCGGTCCATCCAGATTGTTTTCTTTAGATCCTCTGGCTGGCTTCGCTGCACTCAGAATTCCTGGTGGTGGACGTATATATTTCACTGTACAATGGAACCTGAAGCTAAGAGAGCCAAACTTGCTGTAAGTTTGTGGACTGGGCATAGCCCTGAAATCTTTGTCTTTCCGTCACGCACCCAATTTTCCAATTGTAAAATTTGAAATCTATTGGTGCGTGATGTACTCAATCTGCATGGTTGCATGGTGCATGATGTAGATATGAAGGTGATATAGAAATACCGGCACGTGTGTAAACTCCTTCAAGTATTCTACCGCATACAGTTCTATGTGACTGTGGTCCGTGTAGGAATGAAATCAAATGTTTGCCAGTAAATTTATCTCCGATGAAGACCTTTTGAGGCAGTCTCGAATTGTCAGAAGTTGGGCGTAGCAAGGAACTGAGTTCTGGTGACATGTATAAAGGAGGATTTGTACACGCTGGAGATGCAAAAGAATTGCAGAGTTTGGTGTTGGGCAAGGAAACGAACAAACTCGACTTGCTTCACCGTCTCGACAACAATAAAATACACTCGCAGGTTTTGTGTTTCTTTCGTTACCATTTCAAGGTGTTAACTATTTTATATTTCCCCTTGGGTTTATTATCTTTTGTTGAATTACATGTATGTATGTACATCAGTGAGTCATAGTCTCTACATGTTGTACGGAGACGACACGAGATCACGGGACCTGAAACGATGTGCGTTTCCGACCCCGGATTTGGAAGTTCTTCATGATCATCCTTGGTCTATACAGCTCATGATCGCTGATATGCCAAATAACGTGCAACTAGACTTGGGACGGTATTGCAGAGTAGTTGCATACAAAGTTCAAAGTTGTATGGTTACCTGTGACTAGTATTCCTGCAGAGCTCAGGGCCTACCATGTACACATTGTAGTATAATGTGTATGCAACTTGTGTGCGATGCCCTCTCAAGTCTAGTTGCACGTTATTTGGCATATGCGGGCTTGATCTCCTGACCCCAAACACAACCAAGTTCAACTATGCTGTATGCAAGCATGTATAAGTTAGATGGGCCCTGCCGCAAGCCAAGAGCAACTGTACGGGCAGCCCAGGGTCGACCCCCCACCCCCCCCCCCCCCTGTGATTTAGCATTTCAGTGGCTTCTGTCGTCTCCCTGTGCACTATACAGCTCCCTGATGTACAGTCAGGCCTCGCTTATCCGGTCCTCTTTCATCCGGATCCCTCGACATCCGCAGGAAAATAGCTGGTCACAGGTTTACAGCACACGTGGTGCATCCAACATAACCAGTGTTCAGTTATCCGGTTACGTCGCCTATCCGGATATTTTTGTGGAAAACGGATGTGTGCGAGGTCTGACTGTACACCAGGCGCGTGCCCCGTATGGGTTCCTGGGTGCCCGGAACCCCCCCCCCCCCTTTTCCCGCTCACAATGCAGGATTTTGCTTCATTTTTTGAGAATTGTCCCGGGGGAAGCCCCCCGGAACCCACCCTTGAAGGGCACCTGTACACTAATCTCTGACTGACCATCATTGAGGAGCACTGTACTTGTTTGGATGGCGGGCGTAACCGTACATCCCTGCATGCATACACTGTATGAGTAACTTTGCCATGTTGGTGCTTTGTGTGCTTACTTGTGTTCTCCGGCCAGGACGATGACTCGTCGCCAGTCTGCGTTGCTGCTGCTGCCCTGCCATCAGGTATGTTGACATGTACTATACTGATCATGGGGTGGTGGCGTCCCACGGAAGCGGAAAGGTGGTTCTTGACCAGGGAGTTGTACGACTCCTTGTTATTGACCTGCCTGGTACGCGAATCCCGTCGAATTTTTTTATTTTTTTTAATACTGACAGGATACTGTAAAACATGTAATTTTAGGTGCATTAAAATTTCGGTGCCAGGGACCTGCCAGGTTTCAGGTGTAATTTAGAACTAGGTGACCAGCGTTCCCTTCACATACAGTTGATCCTCTAGTGCCTTTAAGGTGTAATTTAAACTTAGGTGCCTGGTTTCTCTACCGAAATCACCGAAATTAAAGTTACACCGAAAATTGCATGTTTTACGGTAGTTGGCACGTGAGTCGTCAGGCTACTTCTACTTGGCAAGAGGGTCACGTACGGTAGGAGCAGATCGGTCTATGGCCACTTCGTGACATCCGCAAACTTGCAGCCGATGTCAAACCTAAATTTGCCGTCAACGACCGATCCCGGATTACGTCACATTGCGAAACAATGGCTGTGCAGCAAGACCAGTATTGTCCCACAAGCATTATCCCCTTGGAATCGATTACATGTACAATCATCTGAGGTGACTCATCTCCCAATACCGATACTGACGTGTTGTCTGCCATGCAAGCAGAGAACATGCCTGGGCCTAGTTCTATTTTTGCTCGCAATGGCAATATTTCTTTCAAACAACGTGCGTATGATATGACCTAGAAAGAGCTTCTCCGGTGCAAGTGAAACAAGAACACAACGTGAACGCGCAGAGCACAAGAATAGGAGAAAACTTTCCAAGACACTTTGATGACATGATAATGTATCTAGGACTACGAGAGAGCTTGCGCTCTGGGGCTTTCACTATGCTGGCTAACCAGTGGTTATTTGGTCACACCCTTAGCATGCATACACACATGTACATCACTTTATGTTGTCACATGCCTGTAGCATAGCTCGGGAATTATTACTATGCTGTGCAATGGGAAATTCTGTCATTTCGAATTTTCAAAAACTGCGTTGGAAAAGGATATCGGTATTTTAGTACGGATCACCCTTTGTTGGCCAAGTGCTGAACTGCAGTCGTTATCGGAAACATGGTGCCTATCATTAATGTTCATAGAAGCCTTGGTCCGCCATTGGTTTATTGAGAGGGGTTGTTCAGCATCTGGTTTTGTTCCAGTTTTTCTTGTGGTTGTCAGTTTGAATCAAACACTAGCTTGCACTGTGACAAACTAGAGATATGTGGCTAATTAGCACTCTACATGTATGTGGTCTCTATCCTGTGTGTTTGGCATGGTTGCAGGAGAGTGTTCAACGGCAGCCAGTGACGTCGACACCCGTCACAGCATCGCCGCGTCATCCTCACCACCGTCAGACTTGACGTGCAGCACAGGAGCGGCAACAACGACGACGGCAGAGGATGCACCTGCAGCGGTAGCAGCAGCGAGCACGGAGTGTGCGGACAACGCAGCGGAGGCGGCTCCGAAAAGCGAGAAGGTTCAACGTCGGAAAGTGGCTCTGCTGCTCTCCTACTGCGGTGCTCACTACATGGGCATGCAGAGGTATGTACTGCTAGTCATACTCTGTGTGTTGCTGAGACAGTGTGTGCTGTAGCACCATAGTCCTTGCAGTAGGTTCAGTCCTCTAACCTTGTTCTGTATTTGTCCTACTGCGGTGCTCACTACATGGGTATGCAGCGGTATGTATACAGCTCTAGTCATCCTCTGTGTTTGCTCAGACAGTGTGTGCTGTAGTATCCTAGTCCTTGCTGAGGCAGTCGGTATAGTCCTTCGGCCTTGTTCTGGACACCCCCAGGCACTGCATGCAGTCCACTAGCCTTGCTCTGTACATTGCATTTGCTGATGCAGTGTACAGCCAGGCCTGTGCTAGCTTTCCACTACACAGGCTCCTAGTCAACGTAGAAACCAGCTACACGTGTATTTGGAGATGGGGCTAGTCTCAGTCTTAGGCTGTGCCTCAGTGTGTTCAAACGCTCCTGTAGAAACATCACCTGTCCAAGGGCGTGCTGGAGGGGGGGGGTCTCTAAAGACAGGTTCAACTTGATGTGAACACCAAGTGTGTGTGTGTGTGTGTGTGTGTGTGTGTGTGTGTGTGTGTGTGTGTGTGTGTGTGTGTGTGTGTGTGTCAGTCTGTCTGTGCGTTTAAAAAAACTCGTACACACACATACTCACACACTCATGCACACACAAACACACACACACACACACACACACACACACACACACACACACACACACACACGTGCAATGGCAAAGCTGTGGTCAACGGGGTGAATGATGGTGGGGGTGCTAGCGCAGAACACTGCAGTGCAGATTGCTTTGCTATCACTCTTAGCTGGACTGGTTTGCTTTTCACCTTCTGCTACTTGTTTGCCCACTTTGAGCAATGAACAATACAATGAATGATAGAGGGGGGGGGGGGGGGGGGGTGCTCCTGCTAGTGTGGAACACTGCAGGGTGCTATGCTATCACTCTTGGCTGCACTGGTTTTCATTTCACCTTCTACTCATGATTATTTGCAAACATGGTATTCTTGCACAGCACAAATGACACCGGATGTGCACCTATCACTGTGCACCTCACTGTGCACCTCAGTGTGCACCTCACTGTGCACCTATCACTGTGTGCATTACTGTTTGAGTGTTGAAACCTGTCTGCTATTTTCTCACATGCATTCCTTTCTGCACTTATTTATAATGGGTTTTCCAGTCACATCATCTTTCTCTCATGTTATTTGCATGAGCATACTGCAGACTACTGTTTTGCTATGAGGAATTCCTGCTGGTGGCTAAGCATCGACTTCTGTGTGTGTATGTGTGTGTGCATGTGTGTGTGTGTGTGTGTGTGTCTCAGACTCTTCCTGACTTTTCTTTCATTCTCCTGGGTGGTTACCAACAGCCAGTGCATGCCGGAGTATGTGGTGTGATGTGTGTGCGGGAAAAAAATAAAAAAGACCAAAAAGTAGGGATTCACTGGCCAGAAAAAAGCCACTTCATAGCTGTGTGGTGTAGACCAGGCTGAATAGTGGCGGTCAATTCTTCAGCCTTGCAAACTGTTGAATGGTGCAATCCCAGCACAAGTTGCTATGGCTTCTGCTGTAGCATCGCTATCATCGCCTCCGGCGATGGGCGTCCAATGGTCCAATGGTCCAATGGTGTGTGTGTGTGTGTGCGTGCGTGCGTGCATGTGTGTGTATGTGTGTGTATGTGCATATGTGCATGTGCGTGCATGTGTGCATATGTGTGTCTGTCTGTATGTCTGGTCTCTTGTGCTCACACTGTCCGTGTTGGCTGGTTTGCTAGGAATGCCCCGTATACCACCATTGAGAGTGAGCTCTTCAAAGGTTTACTGGCTGCTGGCTGCATTGACCCTGAGGATGTTGAGGACACAGGACGGGTAAGATGAGAGGTTTCTGTAAAGGATGGTTTTCTACATTGTCACACATCATACAGTGGGATGGTCCGGGAAATGCAAACATCTGGAAAGGGAGGACATTGTTCGCCAGTCTCTTGCTGCTTCATATTTCACACACTTTAACCTCCTACATGAAGAGTTTATCAAAATGAGGACGGTTTTGAGCTTGACGCTGCGCCCTACATTAACCTTGACGGAGTGTTGCCATGACCTTTGTCCAGCCATTGTGTTCTGCCAAGCTACATTCACTCTGCCGAACTAGGCAGGGATAGTGACCTGGGCTGATTTGTATTAAGTTTTGTGAATCTGTGGAAGAAATAATCCTGGTCATCGTACCCGTTTATTATAATCCTGTTGTGTCGTGTAACTGTGTGCATTAATGTGTAGATGCGATTTCAGCGTGCTTCCAGAACGGACAAGGGTGTCTCCGCTGTCCATCAAGTCGTATCTTTCAAGATAAGTTACTGACCTACGCATTGTGTGAGAGAGCAAGTGTGTGCGTGTGTGTGTGTGTGTGTATGTGTGTGTGTGTGTGTGTGCGTGCGTGCGTGCGTGCATGTGTGCGTGCGTGTGTTATGGGTGGGGAGCAGGGTCTGCTTAATACGGTAAAGTCACCTACAGCAGTCGATCTTTGTCTTATACATTCTGACGTGAGAGCCACTTGCGAGAACAGTTTGTAGGCCTCATCTGAATCATGCATGTATTCAAAGCAGGTTCATGTACTGTACTTTCCGGAGTACAGGCCGCACCCCGATTTTTTTGCCACAAAAATACACATCCACCCTATTTATGACCGTCAATTTGATCATCGGAATATGAGCCGCACCCTCTTTTGTGGGGTGAAATTTGAGTGTTCAGAGTTCGGCTTTTACTCCGGAAAATACGGTACTTCCCCCTAAAACAATAAATACTTGGTGAGGTATTCACAAATGCGTTGATACGTGAGCTGCAGAGATTGTTCAATGTCATGGACAGAGCTTAGAACATAGGAGACTCAGCGGAGGACGTTCAGGTGTCTGATGATTGCCTAACGGCATGAAACTCGAGGTTGCAACCAACCTGAACCTCCTCCGCTTAATCTGCTGTGTGATTTTTATATTCATTATTATTCTAAGCAGCTGCTGTGCTCTAGAAATTTGGTTCGGTAGAACAAAACCACTTCCAGACAATGAGTGGATATACAGCTTTGAAGTCTGTGTACTAGTATATATTAAAAAAAGGTGACACCGTAACGGCGTTTGAGTCTCACAAGGAGTCACCATTTGCTTGATTCCTTAGAGCAAAATTTACCGCAGCTGACAGGTCAATCGAAGTCGCAAAGATTTTGTTTCCGAAGTACTTGTGTGCACGTGGACATACATGTAGATTCCATGCTAGCATTGCAAATGCAATCTTCAGTAGTCCGGCTTGTGTTTCTAAACATGGCGTACTACTGGTCAGAACGGTTCACAGGGCATATCATGCCGCCTAAGAGCACCACACATGCTGCAGTACCCGGGGCGGGAGGGGGGGGGGGGGGGACGAGGAGGGGGTATTTATGACACCTCTGCGGGAAATCAAAAAAAGACAAGTCATTCTGTCTATAGGTAAATGCGATCTTTGCAAAGGACTTGCTTCGAGATATGTACGACGGAAATGAGGTTAACGCAGGATGGGGGTGCAGCGTACGGTTGAGTGGGATTCATCGCTCAAGTGAATTCCCGGGTCTACGTGACAGAGATCTGAAAATGGAGGCGCAGCTACTTATAATTGAATGTGACGCACAGTTGGGGAAGAACAATATGCATGGATTTTATATTTATATTGTCGTTTCCATGTGACTATCATCTGAAATCATCCTTACGCTGGGATTTGGACTACACTAACGACGTGTTAGAATCCATCCGTATTATTCTTCTGGTGTTGTGATATAATGCATGTGCTTTAAAAGTTTTATTGATATAATGACAATATTACGATAGAGATATTAACCCTTGTGGCACGGGTGAGAGGACGTCGGTGAAGCTAGTCAAGAGCAACAGAAAATGTAGGATATGGGCTATGTGGTAGTGAAGGAATCAGGGTGACACGGGTCTTGATAAGGTTGACAGAGATCAGATCATTGGCTTCTCTGGGAACTTCTCTGGGAAGTTTCAGCCATGCCCAGCGGAGTATGCGATAAACAGAGGGGACTGCAAAACACTGGATGAGTTATTTTTGGGGAGGGAGCGTGAGTGCCTAGTACTGCGCGAAGAGAACCGTAAGGTAAAACATGGGGGCACAAGTCAAGCTTCAGAGAATGAATGTGTTGTCTGAGCCCCCGCGACCAGTCAGACAGAGCAACGAATTGTTCGGGTTGATACGGTTTACTTGGCCTCAAACGACGAATAAGGGGACAAAGGAAAGGAGCAGGGCTCAGGAGGACAACGGAAACGATAAGAGTAACAAAAGGGCAGAAAACCACGAGAGAGAGAATAAAACGGACCCAACACGAGGAGCTGCGACGACTACAGAAAACGGAAGACCAGGAAAACGGCGCAGGGCCACGAGTTATAACCCAAACGGACCCAGGCACGAACCCAGGCACGGAGCCAGGCACGAACCCAGGCACGTACCCAGGCACGGACACGTAATCTTAGCAGGAACCAGGAAAAAGCGTGCAGACAGCATGCAATCAGCGTGTGAACAGCGTGCAGCTAAACTGCGTACACCATTACTCCGCCCTAAGATAACTAAGTCTCTCCTGAGACTTTACAAAGCAACAAATCTTTAAGAAGGGGAGGGGTGAAAAAGGGAACGGTTGAGCAAGTGACTAATGGGCCAGGTGGGTTTACACTTAACGACGGCACCAGTGTGGCGTATCCCCTTAAACTAAAACCCTGCAAAAAAACCGTCCACACTGATGTCGTCATTAAGCGAGTTGTTCAACCTGTGTGTGGCCCTTGGCTCTTAAATTATCTGAACAACACCAATACCCATGTCCTCACCGTCCCAACCGCCCCGAGGCCTAAATAATAATACAATGCGCAATCACTCGAGATCATTAGCAACATGAATATCCACCAAATAAACTACGTCAGTCGCATCCGAATCCTCCACCATGACTCCCAGGCTGGGAGAAGCCGGACGGGAAGCGACGGTTTCCACTGATTTCCGCCCTGGTACTCGCCGGCGGTGCCGAGCCCGGCGGGAGCGGCGACGTACACGCCGGAACTCCACCGCGAGAGAGTCTTGGTTTGCCGACGGTACAGGTGGTGATGTTGCGGGTGCGGGAGGTGACGTTACAGCAGACGATTTGCCACATTCGCGGCCAGTAGCTACGAAGTAAATCCGAGATGGATCAGCATATTCGCGTAAACTTAACAGAAAAGAAAACACAGAGAGCAAACAACTGGCAACGGTTCCGAACTTCAACATATTGCTACCTACAAAATTACGAGAGAGAGAATAAAACGGACCCAACACGAGGAGCTGCGACGACTACAGAAAACGGAAGACCAGGAAAACGGCGCAGGGCCACGAGCTATAACCCAAACGGACCCAGGCACGGAGCCAGGCACGTACCCAGGCACGAACCCAGGCACGGAGCCAGGCACGTACCCAGGCACGGACACGTAATCTTAGCAGTAACCAGGCAAAAAGCGTGCAGACAGCATGCAATCAGCGTGTGAACAGCGTGCAGCTAAACTACGTACAACAAATGGACCAGAACGGTCAGGTGTGCACTGCATCTATTCAATGACGACGTAGTATGGGCGATCTCATAACGGTTAGATGATGGGACCTATAAAAACTACGAATTGAAAGGAACACTGCATTCTGACTGGCACGGCTAGCCAGCATAGTTACACTTATAGGACATGAATAAAAGAGCGTGGCTCACCATCGAACCCCTGATATCAATGAAGGACAGAGACGATGAGAATTTTCAGGATCTTCTTGTAGTATTGTCGAGCAGTGTCCAAGCGCAATTACCGCAACACCAATCTACACGGTACAATGACATGCTATCACAAATGCAGAGTGAAGAGAGATCATGTATGACCGGCAAAGTCAACATTCTTCAGATCGCATACTGTCTTAACTCGCTGGTGCCAATTCCAACAATATGTCAATACTGGTAGGAAGCTGCGCAGCAGGGGTTCCCAACTGTTGAAAGTTCCACGCCCATCCAACGATAGGGAAGCAGCACCGGGACATACCAATGATGTATCCACTTGTCGATCTCCACGGACTCGGCATGAAGTTATCTAGTTTGAAGTACATGTACCATCACACTATCCGTCATGGCTATCTAAGACATGCCATCCACTCAATCTCTGGACAACTAGCTGTTTCAACCTTGTTTGGTCTTGTCAGCAGACCTCACAGTCACTGGCAGAACCAATCCCGATGAAGTCAAATGAACAACAACGCATTTTTAAACCGATTCAAAGCATCCACGTCAGAGTACCCAAACTGCGATCGACACAACGAGCTTTGCAGGACATGCAATCTATCATTTTCTCTCGTCCAACTAACTAACTTTGCTTGTCTTCATCATGCTGAAGCAATAACCTTGACTGAATTGTAAACAAGGACAGTATCTTGTTTTAGATGACTGCACCTACATCGTAGGGCGCGGTCGATCTCCAAGGATGCCTGGTTGTACCTGGTGTTCAAACTCAACTTCTGCCATATTTCCATCACACAATGAGACAAGGGACAGGTAGATGAATGGATGACATTTATTGGGGTAGACAAGAGACAAAACGAAAGATTACATGGTGACGACAAGAGAGAGAGAGAGAGAGAGATCGAATGAGAGCGAAAGAGTGTTAGATAAATGGCCAGGGTAGCTATGGCAATTATGGGCGCGCAGGTAGCTACACAGGCCAACAGAACAAAAATGTGAGTACGGGGTGCTTACATACCAGCAGGAAATGATACGGGAGACGGTACCTAACACCGGGATAAATAGGATATTGACCCGCATACACGGGTAACACGGTACCCTCGTATCCATCCCTCCTGCTTTGCATTCGGGACTGATATTCGGCAGGTATCACCCTGGTATATGGGTCTTATCCTGTACATACGGGAGTGCATGAAGGGAAAAGGAACACGCTGGAAGCTATGACCTAGGCTAGGGAGGGGGTCACTGGTATGTAGGTTGCATTCGGGGATAGAGAGGCGCAGGAGCTATGTGTACTAATGGTCAATGGGCTGCATTTGGAGCATGGTTGTTTGTCCTGTATTCAAACCGTTTGTTTCGTTGTGCCGCGTTTGCATGTGTGCATGCGTATGCGCATGTGCATATGTGTGCGCGTGTACATATGTGTATTTGTGTGTGTGTGTGTGTGTGTGTGTGTGTGTGTGTGTGTGTGTGTGTGTGTGTGTGTGTGTGTGTGTGTGTCCATGTCTCTGTGTGTTGTTGGACCGTCGTGGGTGGTGATGGCAACTGTGGTGGTGGTGGTGGTGGTGGTCCGTTCTTTCCTTTCCCTATGTACTGTAGAATGGTGGAAAATGCAATTGAGAAAGTCAATGGTTACCTGCCCAAGGACATCAAGACATTTGGTAAGTTGACTTACCAGAAGTGTTGAGAACATTGGCAGTGAGTGAGAGCAATGCCAGTGTGCTGGATTTACCGAGTACTGCTGAAGGAAGGGTTAGCCTCTATCAGGTCCTGTTTGTTGTCTATCTTGTAAGTCTTGGTACATGCAGGGCCAGGCAGAGGAAGTCCTCGTATCCTGGATGTGTCGATGATCGGGAGATTCCCTTGGACATGTTGCACAACATTCTTACCGGTACAAGTTGTTGCTTCTGCCTTGAATGGTCTTATCCCCCACCCCGGCTGGATGTTTTTGGGCTCCACGTTCTTTGAATCCTGAGGCTAATATAACTCACTTTCTGTCTTCGTCCTGTACAATTTCCAACATTTTTAAATGTTGGAAATTGTACAGGACGAAGACAGAAAGCCATTTTTCATGGTTCTGTGTTAACATTTGTGTTGGTTGTTGTTGCAGCCATTGTCCGTGTTACCAGTGGTTTCAGTTCTTACACCCAATCAACAGGCCGAGCCTACGAGTACGTTATGCCTACATTTGCGCTCGCGCCGAGCCTTTCGGTAAGGCTTTCTGCCTGTTTCTCTGCCTGCACTTTTTGTTTAGATGTGTGTGTACGTGTGTGTACGTGTGTGTGTGTGTGTGCGTGCGTGCGTGCGCGCGCGCGGGGGCGGGGGTGGGTGGGTGGGTGGGTGGGTGGGTGGTAACTGAAGAGGGAAACATCCCCGACACAAGTTGTTTCACAGAACACATATTTTTCGGTTTTACTAATCTTTTTAAAGGACTGACCGGTTTCGCTGTCTAAGGCAGCTCATCAGAGTGAAGAGAAATGTAAAAACACAACAGAATTTATGCAGGCGAGAGTGGCACTAAATTATACATAGATACAAGTAGGCCGCCAAAATGCTAGGGGCTCCAAGAGCATTGGGAGTTCCTAATTTGGAAGTGCTGCAATTCTGTTATGACATATGTGTAATAATGTGGGCTTGAATTCCAATATGGATGAATGCTTATATGGAACATGCTTTGTAATTATGAACAAGTTGTATGTTGTACATGAAAAAGCATGCAAGCCCAGTTTGTACATTATATCTGTCTGGTAATGTGTACAAACTTATTTTTGGCAAGTGAAGTGTCCCATGCCTGAAAATAGAATAGTATGTACAAAAAAGGGTGGTACCTAAGAGTGTATGGTTAGAACAATTGTTTTGTTTTGCGAAAGAACACCATAGCATCAGTGTTCTGGAATGATTCTTCTAGAATAGTTCTAAGACTATTGCCAACAAAGTGTGGGTGATAAGATGTAACAAATGTAACCTTATTACCAATGTTCTTCTTCTTCTTCTTCTTTGCTGGTGGCAAAGATGGCTTGGCGTCGACGTTACTAAAGACGGCGGCCAGGAAGTCAGGAGGATAACCACGTAGTCGTAGTCTAGACCAAAAACGCTTACGAATAGACACAATATCAATCAGCAGAGAATTGGTTCTATTGTAGCGGTGAAGTTCAGCCAGAATAAATGAACGTAGATTTGATCTAGGGTGGTCCGACTTGAATGGTATATACAAATACGCATTCCTAGGTTTTGATGTGTGCGATACATGAGAATGCAAACATTGTCTGTGATGGATCTATATATTTCTAAGTCTAGAAATATGCACTCATGGCTGGGAACAGTCCAAGTAAGGTTGATATCAACTAGATCACTATATAGACTAAGTTTGACATTTTCTAAACAAAGGTTTTCGTCGATAACTAGGAAAACATCATCAATGAATCTAGTAAACAAGTAAATAGATTCTTTGAAAAGGCTTAGTGTTTTTCTTTCATGAATGAAGAGAAAAGCGTTTGCTACGTTTACGGCCATTGGTGTACCCATGGCCATTCCATGAACTTGGTGGTAAATGGAGTCCTCAAACTTAAAATAGTTATTCTCGAGAACAAAGGTAATGAGATCTACTAGTAACTGTCTGAGAGGGTGATCAATTTCACTTAGGAGCTGATCGATAGTAGCAATGGTATCGTGCCAACACATGTTAGTATAAAGACTGACAACGTCTGCAGTGACTAATTTACTGTTTGTAGGAAAATTAGTTGAAGCAAGCAGTGATACTAGACTATTGGTATCTGCTAGGACTGTAGATGGTGTTGCTTTATTGATGATAGATTTTAAGTGGAAATCTACAAAACGTGAGGCAGGAGAGGTGCAGTATCCAATGCATGACACTATAGGTCTACCTGGTACTTTACCTGCGATAAAATTTTTATGAATCTTTGGCAAAATGTAGAATTTAGCTGGCTTAAAAGGAAAACAGCTAAATAATGCTTTAGTATCTCTAGTTGTGAGTGTGGCAGAATGCTTGTTGGAAATAGAGGAAAGCTTATCTGAGATCTCAACGTGTAAAGTATCGGAAGAAGTAATGTTGTTATAGAACTTCTTATCTGACAATTGCCTAATACAGTCGGCTGAGTAGGCTTCGCTATTCAGAACAACCGTGCCAAGGTTTTTGTCTGCATTGCAAATAGTGATGTCAGAGCGGCTATTGAGTGACTGATAAGCTAATTGTTCTCCAGGGGTGAGATTTCTTTTCCGTTTACTAGTGAATTGTGCAGCATTTACGCCGGCAAGCAATCTGGATTTGAAATCGAGTAAAGAGTGTTCAATGTGAGGAAAGGCTAGAGGAGGTGTTTTCTCCGAAGGGAGGTGAAAACCCGGAATGTATTGATTGTGAGACACTGCAGGCCTTATTCTATCAAATAGGTCATTCCATCTAGCTCTATTCGTTAAGCTCTTTACATCCTGAAGTAATGAAGTTAAAGGAGGTTAACGTGTTGTGGGTCTAAAACTTGAGCCATAACCGAGAACCTGCTTCTCAATAGAGGAGAAAGTGAATCGAGAATAATTGTGAAAACCAGAGTTTAAAACGAAAGTAAAGTGTTCTTTGAATTTTAAATTCCAAATGAATTTGAATCTCAAGTCCTTTACTGTCTTCTCTGATTTGGGGGGACAATTACCCTTCTGCCAGTCGATACTTTCCCTTGCTGGTTTTTTGGCGGCAGTTTCGGCTTTGCTCTAGGCTTAGGCTTAGGCTTAGGCTTCTGCTTCTGCTGCTGCTGCTTGGACTTTGGCTGTGTCTTACGAAAGGCTGACTGCACTTCTCGCTTAACTAGTTGGCCAATCTCTTCTGCAGTGGGTGGTGCAACATCCATACCAATGACTTGTACTGTGGTCTCTTTGGCTTTGGCCCTTGTTAGAGATGCTCTAATACTTCTGGCTAGAGCTGATGCCTTCTTTAAACCAAGTAAGAAGTCGTATCGGTACATAATGCTGCTACTGAACAGTGACATGTGCTTGTCTTCGCATAGCTCGCTGACTAATTGGTCTAAGTTAGCTCTGGCCTCGACAATGCAGCTCGCTTGATTTTTGCTTGGCAATTGATAACACAATCCTGGGCATAGACTGAACATTCTATAAGTCTTGCTTGTTCTGAAAGCTTGGAATACTTCTTGACGAGAAAATCCTCGTAAACTCTCCCTTCAAGCTGGGCCTGCCATTTATCAACCTTCAAGCGGTCCTCACTAATGATCTTCTCGCTCGTAAGGAGCCTATCAACACACCATAGAACGTACCGTTCGAGCTCGACGTCTGGGAGCGGGCTAGAGCCGGGTGTTGACGACGAGACGCACGTAGGCGTGTGGTGGGAGAAATCAGCTGGTTCTGCAGTTGCTGCCGAGTCGTCGTGTCGCTTGCGTTTAGCTGACGTTTCGGCAAGAAGAGGATGTCCTGCGCCGAGTGTAGTACCTCGGTGGGTGGGTGGGTGGGTGCGTGCGTCCGTGCGGGCGCGCGTGTGTACGTGTTGCGCGTGTGTACGTGTTGCGCGTGCGCGTACGTGTGTGTGTGTGTGTGTGCGTGCGTGTACGTGTACGTGTGTGTGTGTACGTGTGTGTGTATGTGTGTGTGTGTGTGTGTGTGTGTGTGTGTGTGTGTGTGTGTGCGTGTGCGTGCACGTGTGTGTGTGTGTGTGTGTGTGTGTGTGCGTGCGTGTCTGTACATGTGTGTGTGTGTGTGTGTGTGTGTGTGTGTGTGCGTGTGCGTGCGTGTCTGTACATGTGTGTGCATGTGTGTACATGTGTGTGCATGTGTGTGCATGTGTGTGTACGTGTGTGTGTGCATGCATGTGCATGTAGATGGGGAGGCAAGGGAAGGGATATAATAATGCCTCGGTTCCACTTATTTTGTGGATGTGCCTACGATGGAAATTGAATTCCAAGGTCCGTTGCCCATAGCATTTACTCCTTTCGTAGCTCATTTGCCAGTTGTTGCGATCCCAAAAGATCAAACTTCCTCCTCAGCTTGCATAGCTGTACTGTCGGGAACCGAAAACAGAGCACCCAAGAACAAACAGGCTTGGATTTTGCCAAGCGCAGCATACCGATATACTCAGGGTAAACTGTGCATAGACTGTTCAACATGAAACTAAGAATGGCCTGGGCTACGAGGCTACCCCCCTCCCCCCCCCCCCCCTCCCCCCCCCCCCCCCACACACACACACAGTTCTTCAGGACCATACACGGCAACTGTACTGCGCACAACAGACCAGTTGCAATGAACTGTCACGTCCATTGCATACGTCGTTTTGTCGCATGCCCGCTGGCCACTTCTAACCTAATATGGTTTGTTTGTCTTTCCGTCTGCCTTTCGCCATGTGCTGTGTCTCTCCAGAAATCCGTATCGAGCTACCGCGTAGACGGTATGTTGTTGAGTGCAAACTGCTAACTGCTATCACGGCCTGTCTTTGCACTCGCATATGTATTTCACTTATTTACTCAATCTCCGGACAGGTACCGTATTTCCCCGAATATAGGTCTTACACCTGTTTTCACTAAGCTTCACGGCCAACAAAGGGGTGTGACTTACAATCGAGCATAATCACTACCGAAGGGAGTATATCGAAACGATAATGATTATGATTAATGATATCAATGCTGGTTTGGGAGCTTGCACACCATTGTCAACCTGATGAAGGCAATTTGCCGAAACGTTGGAATGATTATTGTGAAATGAGTTGAACTATTGCAGCGTCGATGGAAGAGAGTGTGTAGGCTCTACTCTGAACTGATAGTGATATGGACCTGGAAATGGAGGTGCGACTTACACTCAGGGAAATACGCCAGCTGCATTTGCCTTGTTAGTACGCATTAGCACAGCTCAGAGTCACTGGCTAATTCAGCTACTTTGAATATTTATTTAGACAAGATCTCCTGGCGTGAAGTTGGTTGTTCCTACGTGGACACGCTTCCTGCCGAACTTGAGACTTGACTGATTCCCGACTGCCATCTTCCTCCTGTCTCCTGTCTCCTGGCATGTCACAAAATACTTAGTATTGAGTGGAGATGAAGGGTGAGCCTATGTGCTGGCCTAGCCTTGCCTTGATGGCCACTGGTGTAACATCTCCATTCACCTAGCACGGCCTCTTGATCAACTCTGTCTCTCAGAAGGCAAGATCGTGTTTGACGACTCAGGGGCGTAGCAGCCGGTCCGGCCGGTCCGGCTTTGGCCGGACCACTTTTTCGCCCGACCACGACCACCATAGTAAAACAATGCCAAAAGTGCCCAGAATGCAGGATTTTGCACCCTAATTTCAAAAACATTCAGCGGGTGGACATCCCCCCGGACCCCCTGGCCGGACCACCGCCAACGGCGGTGCTACGCGCCTGCGACTAACCTACGGTTGCACTCGGTGAAATCCGACCCAAAGTGCAAAGCAGGCGCCCTGGACCAGTTCCGATCACATCATTGTATTTGTACATGTGTACATCCAGCTGCATTCGTGCCACTTCCAGCAAGGCCAGGGCTGTGCAAATTGAGGGCACCGGATGTGCACCATGGGTCGGATTTCACCGAGCGCAACTGTATTAATGCTGTCCCATGCCTGTCCCATACCTGTCCCATACCTGTCTCATACCTGTCTCATACCTGTCTCATACCTGTTCCATACCTGTCCCATACCTGTCCCATACCTGTCCCATACCTGTTCCATACCTGTCTCATACCTGTCCCATACCTGTCCCATACCTGTCCCATACCTGTTCCATATCTGGTTCCATACATGTCTCATACCTGTCCCATACCTGTCCCATACCTGTCCCATACCTGTCCCATACCTGTCCCATACCTGTCCCATACCTGTCCCATACCTGTTCCATACCTGTCTCATACCTGTCCCATACCTGTCTCATACCTGTCCCACACCTGTTCCATACCTGTCCCATGCCTGTTCCATACCTGTTCCATACCTGTCCCATACCTGCCCCACACCTGTCCCTGTTCTATGCCCGTGGTGACAAGGATATCTGCTATCCAGTTCAAAGCAAGCTTGACCTGGTATTCTCTAAGTGCACTGTGGGTGCAGGGTGGGCTTCCAGCGCCTACACACCGAGCTCTCCTCCGTTTCTTTCTCGTGGCTTGTTCCGATGGAGGGTTTGTGATGGTGCTGTTTGTTGTCCTGCAGCCGACCGCATTGTGCTGGTAAACCGTCTGCTTGAAATCTACATCGGTACTCACAACTTTCACAACTTCACATCTGGAAGGTTAGTGACATGGGAACTGAATACAAGTGGCAAAATTGGAAATGCCGACACTGACAGTAGAATTTTGCTGCCCTCAGTTTGTATGAAAAGTCCCCCCCCCCCCCCCCCCCCTCCACCTGTGTTCAACCACTTGTGCTGGAGTTAGTTAGTTTGGGTTGGTGGCGACTTGTTGCTGTAATTATAGCATCAAGTTGCCACCAGCCCACTATACTGGGGATACCTACGCTGTGTGACTGAGGACCAATACCACTTATGTGTGGGTGCGTGCATGGCGATCAGTCTCAAAGAGTGGGACTGCTCTGGCTGTTAGCTCTCCAGCCAATGATGCCGGGCTTATTCACATGCTCCCAGGACACGTTTGAGTTCCGGAAAATGTTTGTGTGCACCAGCAACAGACTTTATTAATTATTGGGTTTTTCATTGCGAAAAAGATCATTTGTCATGTAATTTTTCATTGCAGTGTTTTTGATTCAGGTGTTTTGAATTTTCGCAAGTAACACAATCATACACTGCTGGCAACCATTGTGTGTTCTCTTGTTCAATGAGAAGTAGAACGAGTTCCTGCTCGCAATTTATGATAGAACTGCTGTGTACAAGGAAGGAGTGCTGATTTTTTTGTTTCTGCCCTTACTTGGCTAGACAATTCAAGGATCAAAGCTGCAGGCGTGTCATGCGTAGCTTCGGTGTGGTGAGTCGCTTTGGTTTGGCTTGATTGCTTGTAAACTTACTATCTCAGCTATTCAAGAAGTCGCCGACATGTCTAGTTCATTAGAACCCCCCCTTTTTTTGGCTGAATTTTGAGTGTTCAAAGTGTGGCTTATGCCCCGGACAATACGGTATGTTGGGATAAGACATTCTTCAGATAATTGAGAGGTTCTGCAAAACGAAAATGTGTACGAACCTTCGCTCTACGTCACGAAGTGAGAAACTTCGCACGAACTTTCGCAACTTTGGACGCGAAACTTGCAGGGAACGCGAAATGAACTTTCGTAGGAAGTTTCGTGAGATTGGGTCATGTCGTACGCGCACTTGGGGCAATTGGCGCGTGCAAACTACGAAAATGTGCAGAACACAAAGTTCGTGCGAAAATTCGTACACATTTTCGCAAGGCCTGTCGCGAAACTTCGTTCGAATTTTCGTTGTGCAGAACCTCTCTAATGTTTACATTCGTATTTCATGGTCTGGTGTGTGTGTGTGTGTGTGTGTGTGTGTG